TTCTCATTTTGGATCTAATCTGAAACAAAACTCAACTTCGTATAACTTTGAATTTTCAAGTTTTTCGTTAGGTAAAAGGAAAAATCAAACTCTGTATTGATATTTTGGTATTATTATTTAAAGGTTACATGTTTTTTATTGTGAAAATTAGAATTAATTTTTTTTATATTTTTTAAATTTTGATATAATTTATTTTTTTAACTCTATAAATGCACATGAATTTAATTATTTTAATTAAATTTTGTTAAATTTATTTATCGTTTCAAACACATGATAATATTAGAATTATTTGTACCGATTGATACATTTCTGTTTCAATATTAATTAAGAAACACGATTGAAATGTTAAATAAATTTAACAAAATTTAGTTTAAAAAATTAAATCCACATAATTCTAAAAATGAGAAATTAAATTGGTTAAAGTTTAAAATATGAACTAATTATAATTTTTACTAAAAAGTTAAAAAACCTAAAATATATTTAACTCATCATTTAACTAAACTTTTAAAATACACTAATATCTATATATTAAAAATTAGTATATTTTAAAATATTAAAATAAATGTCTATTAATATATGTTAACAAAACAGAAAAATAGTATAAAAATTCAGGAAACAATTCAAATTTTGGTCAAAAGATTTATATATATCAAAAGCCAACTAGAAGCACTTAATTTGTGATCAAAGTATTCCCTACTCTACAAACTAGTGAATTTGAATTATTCAACTCACCATACTCTTGCAAATAGTTTAACATACATTCAGTGGTTATTATAGAATTCATATATCGAATCTCAGATTTGTTTGAAGGGTACGACCTTTAACTAGGATTGTGATTCACCCATATTTGTACCTTATAAAAGTGTCACCTTTGACATTATCACGTAGATTTTTTTTATGCATGGTATTATTATTTTTTTAAGAAAAAAATAATAATAAGAGACAGTAGTGTCTGAATTCAATGTAAGAAAAACTTCACGAATTTAAAATTACTCGCTGTTCTCAACAAGATACATGAAGATTTAAATTTTTTTTTTATATTTATTTCATGATTCAATGTTGGAACCTTGAATTTATAGATTTCCAAAACATATTGCAAGTCAAACTTACGTAAGAGAACACAATTGCCACCAAACTAAAGTTATACCTAAAAGAGAGAGCGAAAAAGAAATGCTCCGTATTCATTAAACTATTATTTTAAAGATATTTGGAGAAGCTAAATAATCTTACATAAGTCGAGATAAAAAAAATAACTTAAATTCTTTTGATTATATCATTTAAAAACTAAAGTAAAAACATTTAAATATATTTCTTTTTTAATTATTTTTGACAATATTTTAAATGTGGTGATCAGCTCTAACGATGTTATCTTATCAAATTTAAGATTGAAATATTAACATATACAAAAATGAAAAAAATGTTTTAAAGACAAATTTTTGTTTCGTAAGAAAATGAAAAGGTTATAATTAAAAAATGAATCTTCTTTCCTACATAGAGAAATAGAAAAAATATTATATAGTATGATAGTCCGGTTAGTTATGAATCGGATTGTCATCTAGTCTACTATCTCACATGAGTCGGTCGATAAACCAATCAGTCTGGTTAAAGAAAGAGTTAACATTAAAAATAATTACATTAATCCTAAGCGAGATCATAAATCATCACCGTAATTAATCCAATACTAATCAAAAGTTCATCTTTAAAATTTATAAATATAGGCTTGATATTAGGGTAATTTTTTATATTAACTATACATTTATACTTAATTTAGCATGAGAGTATTTTCTACATGTAACACTCCAGTTCAACCAAACGGTAATTAGAGTGGATTAGAGACAAAACCCTGATTTGAATTTAAAGATTTAAGATTCTTTGAAAAAGTAAACTTCATTTCCATCTCATGAACTGAAATAAACATAAATACAAATATTCCCTTTATAGCTTGACTTTAGGTATACATTTAATGAAATTCTAAACTTCAAAATAAATAATACTTCATAATTCAATAAATTTAAAGGAGAAAAAAATATTTTCAAAAAAGTTGGAATTAAAAAACGAAAAGAGAGGAAAACAAAATTTTCTACTTTGAATAAATATTGTAAATTATAGAAGTCATCAGAAATCTCATGTATAGAGCTTTAGTTTGTTAACTTTGAACGACACACCCTAAGACAAATTGGCAAGAAAGAATTGTTATGTTGACAATGTTGATAGCATAGTTGGTGATGGTTTGTCTTGTACCCTGTAAAAATTGATGCATTGTGTAATGAGTGTGATGTATCTCATCCAATATTAAGAATGACAGGGAGATGCGGCACTAAATTAATAACATGTGATAGTGTCTGGTAGAAGTGGCAAAAAGGACCAAAAGCCTGCGACGAAAACGATGTATTTTTTTGCATAGGTTCCCTCTAAATTCGATTTCATCCTCTAATTCAACATTTTGGCCATCAAATGGTCCAAACCTATTCATGACTTAGTACTTATTTGGCCCTGCATCATACTTTCTCACGTACCACACTTCTCAAATGCATTACACATTCCCTTTTTTAATCATTCTACTATCCACCTTCCCATACTAAATATCATCAATTATATAAACAAAATCATATATTTAACATATACTTCAAAAGCAAACTTCATTTTACAAATTTTGTAAAATTGAATCAAAATTAAAATTAATTTATTATATATAAATAATATGAAATTTATATTATAAGTCAATTTTTTATAAAATTAAATTATTTTTAAATTTTATGAACTAAAAACATAATTAAGTAATATACTTTTATTAGTTTCTAAAATTTGTAACTTAAAATTCAAGAAATGTAGTAAATTTTTGTTCTGATAAAATACTTCATTCTTTAAATTGATGGCTTCGTTAAAGAAAATAAAATTAATATGTCGTTTTCACAAGTGAAGATAATATGATATATATATTTTTTATCGAATATTTAACTAACTTATACTTCTTACATTTATTATAGAATGGAGATGAAAGTAACAAATATAAAATATTATACCTATTTCATGATATATATTAGAATAAAAAGTTACTGTCCTTTTTCATATATCAACCGTGAAAGTAGATGAAAGGATTGTAGGAAGTAGTTATAAAGATATATACAAAAATCAAAGTATACATAATTGATAAAATAGTAATTATTAATTAAGATAATTTCAAAACGAGGCATAAATATAATATAGTATATAAATTAATTGAAAATTAGGGGAATTGATAAAAAAAAAAACTAGTAATATTGAACTTACAATTTTAAAAATGACTTATAAATAATAAAAGTCGATGGAAAAGTAGTAAGGAATGTTTATGTTTATGAGCAGTGTAATTTACTTAAATAAGGTGCAATTTTCTTGCATTAAATTCTGCACTGAAACAATGAAATTTGGTTAAAGTGAGAGAGATATGTATGGGAATGGTTGAACAAGTGCTTTAAATAATCTGCAGGAATAATTCCACACTCAAATCTTCACACAATTATTTTCCAATTTAATGCAATGTTTATTCAGTAGAAAATTGAATAATGCTATACCTTCCTATTTTCTTTTATTAATTATTTTAATATTTTATATAGAAAATATCAAAACAAAATAAAATAGAGTATATTTTTAAAATTAAATACTTTTTTAAAAGGTAACTTTTATTAAAAAGATCAGAAGTTTAAAATTATTCTAAAATCTATTCCATAGAAATTTATTGATTTACTGACATTTTTAGTCTGCTATAATAAAAAAAATACTTTATAGAATACATATAATTGTTAAACATGTTGGTCAATTATAAATAATGTTATTACTTTTTCTTTTAGTGGTGTGATTAAAAACTTGAATTAAAAGTGGATGAACAAATTGACCAATTTTGTGAGTTGGATTAAATATTAAAAAATGTGAATTTTATAATAGTAATAATGAATAGAAGTTGTCGAAGTTTGAAGTATAAGATGAGAATATATATATATATATATATATATATATATATATATATATATATATATATATATATATATATATATATATATATGTATATATATATATATATATATGTAGTTAAAGATGAAAATATATATATATATATATATATATATATATATATATATATATATATATATATATATATATATAAATAGTAGTTTTGTTATTGTTTTTGGTTTTGGTCTGACAAACTCCACATGGTCCTTCAGAAAGGCCCAATCCACAGACCCACCCACGTTGTTGTGTCTGCATACAACCACAGCAGATCTACCTCTCTTTCTCTCTCTTTCTTTTTCTTTCAATAAAACAATATCCAAATAAATTTTATCTCATTCATTAAATTCTACACCCTTATACTATCTCATAAAACCTAACTATCATAATTTCTCATATTATATAAGAGATTTATTTCAAAATTATTTTATAATTTTTTACCGCTAATGATATGAGTTTTTTTTTTATATTATTTAAATTTTTTATTAATATAAAACTTTTAACTCCCATTTTTATTTATAACATTTTTAAATAGAAAATATTTTAAGAATGATATGTCTTATGACTAGATTACACACCAATTCTAATATGATAAAATGTAACACTAATAATTAGATTTAAAATCAACTTCTACATAAAATGAAGATAATTGAAAGTTTAAAAGTGAATTAAAAAACTAAAATTAAATAAAATTAAAATAACATATAAGAAAATACTCAAATGGATGGAATTACTTATAATTTATTATTAATAAATTTTTAAAATTAACATTTTTTTACCTCTTTGGTGATAAGACATCTCCAATACTTCTTTTCTAGGTGCATATTATAATACTTGTACAGTAAACAGATTTGGGTTTTTTTTTAATAAACATGATTAAAAGAACTTAGTTATCTAAGAATTTATATATATTTTTTAACAAGGCTTATCTGTCTCATGCTCTCTGATTTTGACACCTCAAAAACCACTCTTTTTCTCATCTCTCTTACGTAATGTGAATGAAAGAAAAGGGCGTTTCTGCGAGTTGTTTATTCTTGGGGCAAAATTTTCAACACTTGCCTTCTTCATATATACACACTTCAATTCCTCTCTCTCACACTCTTTAGCCTCAACAGCTGCATCTTCTGCAAGAGAAAGGAAAACTAAGATAAAAATTATTCCTCTGCTCAGTTAAAGAAAGAAAAACATCTCTTCTTGGGTCTCACAAATTTCCCTCTTCTTTTCTGCATCACTTTGGAATTGCTTGGTTTCTACTTCTGTTTTGTTCTTTCTGTTCTGCTTTTGCAGCATATATATTCTCTTCTCTGCTGTGCCAAACCCCAACATCACCCAGTTTCTCCAATTTTCTGCTTTCTATCTCTCTTTTCTCCATTCAAGGTTTTGGACATTCTCTTCCCTTCACACATGCACATGCACATACACATGTCATGTGTGTAACACATAAAAAAAGCATGAAATTTGCATGACCAAGTCTTCTCCTAGCTTGATGCAAGTTCAGGTCAATGCATTGATGTTATCAATTTATCATCTTTTTTAGAAATTCCTCCTTCTGAAGCATCTGGGCACATTTCAAATTCTTTCTACCCCAGAACAAAAGGTCTTTAATTTATTCTTTGTGGGAGGAGGATGGTGGTTAATCAGGCCTTGTGAACTCTGAAAAGTTGAAGGGTAGCCAAAAAATGTCTAAAAAGGTCTTCACAATGAAGGATGAAAATCCAGAATTGCAGAAGCAAATTGGGTGCATCAGTGGCTTTTTTCAGCTTTTTGACCGCCACAGGTTCCTCACAGCCCAACAAGGTAGCAGCCACAATCAGAACATACAAACTAAAGGTAATGTGATCTGCAACATATATGTTATTGCTATATATGCATTTTGATTTTGATGATGCTTTGGATAGTATTAATGTTAACTTGATAGTTTTTTTATTATGTGATATTCATAAACTTTACCTTAAATAAAGGACTAAATGACAATTTTTGGTTGACATTAATAAAAGGGACTAATTGTCAAAGTTTGATTGGCATGTATATTGAGTAAAATCTCTTTCTTTCAACATAAATTGGACTGGCCCTATCAACTTGCAATTTGTCAGTCATTTAATGTCACAGTTTTTTTCCCACTAGTTATTTTGTGTTCAGCTTTATGTTAAATTTTAATGGGATGAGAAGGGTGATAGCTAACTAACTTGTCATTGGTAAAAGTTCTTTCACTGCCTCTAGTAACAATATAAAACAAAGTTTTTGTTTTTCTTTGAAGTGGCTCCGAATTAAATCATGGATGCATTCTCCAAATTGAATCATTGTTTCAAGATAATGTAGAAACCATTTCCATTGTATATGAAACCTATTCTTCAGATGTTTAAATATTAAATGCTTTAGAATGTCAGTTTTCATTCTTTAGCAGTGCCTGGGATGCAGATATGTTTTTCTTTTAAAAAAATTGTACCTTACCATTCCCAGTAGTTATTTCACTTTCCTCATTTAATATAAGATGAGTGTTTGGTTGAAATAATTATGGAGAAATAAATTTCCTTTCAATGTGTCCGAAGAAGCTGGTAAAGCAAATAATTTTAACCAAATACAGACAAATGCAGACTTTATACATTTCCAGGTAGCACATGGTTCTGCAAAAATGTTTTCTCATTGTTACCATGCATAACCTTTGCAGCTAAAAAATGCATTACTGTAAGTAAGTACAGGTTCAGATTTTTCCATTAAAAAAATTAAGATTCCTTGTACGATAAATGTTCTTATATAACAATTCATGATTGCCTCCATATACTTATCTCAAATCCATGATAAATATAGATAAATTATTGTATAAAAATTTTGCTTGATTGTTTTTGGTACTGAGCATGATGGTTCATACATTTAAATTAGGTGTATTAAGCTAATAATTATCATTACATACGTAAATAAACTATTTATTATTTAACCGTGTGTTAATCTTTAACTTGTTACATTGAACTGTGATGATGATGCTACTTTCTTTAAAGACATACCTTTTGAACCTGGCAATATATATATATATATATCAGAAAGAATTTAAGAATGAAGACTTTGTTTGGATTAATGTTTTCACAAGATATTCATTCAAATTATTTCCCACTAAAAATTCTCTTCCTTTCTCAGGTGGAACAAGGAACCAGATGAAAGAGGTGAATAATACAACTCAAATGGCAATGGTAAGAAAAGTGGCTAAAAGTTTAAATCATGAGAGAAACAATAAACTTGATAGAAACAATTAAGAATGGAAGTTTGCTTTGCAGGGAAAGAATGTGAAGGTTGCAGGAGAGAATCAACAATTCTCCACAGAATCATCAGGAACTTCAATGTCTTCATCTTCTCGTTCATCTAGCATGTCATCCCTGGAGTTCAGCAGAGCAATTCAGATAGAACCACCATCAATAATCAGTCCAATGAAAATTCCAGAGAATTCTAATCCAGAAATAGAAGTGAAGCAACATGGCAACAAAGGCCCTCACTCCCTTGATTTCTATGACATTGTGAAAGATTCAATGCATAGAGATGTTCAAGGATTGTCTGTAAAAATTGTGGCTAAAGGGGAAAAGAAAGGTAGAATCTTGAAACACGTTGATTCTCCCAGGCCTTTGGAGCCCCCAAAACCTGTAAATATGGTTGCTTGGGATTCACCGAGACTCTCTTATGACGGGAGGGACACACAAGATTCATTAAAGTCTGCTAGAAAACCTAAGGAACTCCCAAGGCTTTCCTTGGACAGCAGAGAAGGATCCATCAAAAGCTTCAATGAAGGAACAAAATGTCGTGGCCTTCTGAAGGGTCTACAGAAAGGGTATGGTAGCTCTGGCACAATGTTTAAGCAGCTGCAGGAACCAGAAACTTCTAGAAGATCATCCAGTGTTGTAGCAAGGTTGATGGGACTAAAAACCTTCCCAGAAAGTACAGAAGCATGTGATACTCAACCACGGATATATTCCAGCAAAAATGAGTCAGATGCAGAATCTTGCACAAATGAGAGTGCATCAATGAAAGGGTCTACCTTTCTTCAGTTTAGGAGGGATGCTTCAATCCTCAATGAGACACCCTATTCACGGTTTTCCCTAGAATCTGAAGCAAGCCAAGGTTCTCAAATACAAGTTTCAAAGAGAAGTGAATCTTCAGCAAAAGCATCAAACCAATCGCTCTCTGTATATGGGGAGATTGAAAAGAGGATAGCAGATATAGAGTTCAAAAACTCTGGAAAGGATCTCAGAGCGCTTAAACAGATTCTTGATGCAATGCAGAGATATAAAGAATCATTTGAGATTACAAGGGACCAGACTTCAAATTCTCTATCTGACCATAGGAGTAATAACAGTCTCAGTGAAAACTCTGTGGTTAAAAGCCCAAGAATACGGCAGAAGGACCCAGCATCCACCACTTCTGAGATGAGAAATTCAACCCAGGGTAGTAAGTCACCAATTTTCACCATGAAACCAGAAAAAGCTGCAGGAAAAACTGGCAAGTTTGGTTCTGCTAATACTGCAAATGGAATAGTGGGTGAGAAGCTTGACAGGAAAACAGCAAAGGGTATCAGTCCAGCCATCAGACAGGCCAAGGATTCCCTTGGCCAACCCTTCCACTCGGTGGATAAGAGCAACAACAAGATGAGAACATCAAAATTGTTGCAATCCCCAAAAGTTGCTCAAGTAATCAATGGGGAAAACGCCACCAACTCCAACAATACAACAGGGGCCAAGAGCCCAAGGCTACAAAAGAAGTTTGGTTTGGAGAGGCGCTCACCAACAACTATCCCATCATCAGAATCATGCAGTAACAGAAGACAACATAATAGGCAATCAGTGGAATTATCTTCCCCAAGTACTACACCCAGACAAAGATTCAATGAGACCAAAAACCAAAGGGAGGATTTTAAGCAAGAAGTTGGCGTAAAAGTCATTCAAACTGATCAAAGTGTTAGTATATCTTCTTCCCATCTTTGAATTCTTGCAACTAGATCAGCTGGTTTAATATTTTTCTTTTCATTGATCAGAATGCAGCAAAAGATTTGAGCAAGGAAAGCTTTCAAGTTGAGAAAATAGTTACAGCAGAGCAACCAAGCCCCGTGTCTGTTCTTGATGCTGCTTTCTACAATGAAGAACCACCTTCACCGGTCAAAAAGAAATCAGACATCACAAGAGATTTAGGTACGTTACAAACTTCACTTCTGAGAAACATAGAATGTTGAATCAGTCCACAATCGTCTATAAAATGAATCATTCGACAAAATACATTTCTAAACAGGTTTTGTTACATGTTATATTATTGACTTTCTTCAAATTCTACAGATGATACTCTTTATGATAGCAGTGAGGAGAAGTCAGAACATCTCCCGCTTTTATCCAACAATGCAAAAGCCAACTTCAGCAGTAGAACTCAAAATTTGGTTCAAATTCTCCACCAAATTGATTCCAATGATGAGAGATTTACCAATTTCAGAGACTACAATGATCCTGACCATAAATATATATCAGAAATACTGTTAGCATCAGGGCTTCTCAGCAGTCCAAGCTCTAGCTACGATTTTCATTCATCAAGTCACCCTATAAACCCAAAGTTGTTCCTTGCTCTAGAGCAAATCAAGACAAACAAGAATTGTTTCAACATTGAATACGATGCCAAGAAAATGGCTGGGCTGAGTAGTCCTCAGAAAATGCAAAGAAAGCTAATATTTGATGTTGTTAGTGACATTCTAGCTCAGAAACTGATATTGGAAAGTTCTACTCCGTGGTGCCAGTCGAATCAGCCAGTAAGTAGAAAAATAAGTGGGGAGCTGCTGTTGGATGAGCTTTGCATAGAAATTGATAAGTTGCAACATAAAAATAGGAATGACAAACTGATTAACGAGGATGAGAACATGACAAGCCTCCTGTGGGAAGAGTTGATGCACTATCCCTCAATTTACACAAACAGTTACATGGAAATTCCAAATGTTGTGTTGGATGTTGAACGGTTGATCTTCAAAGATTTGATAACTGAAGTTGTGAGAAGTGAACTACCTAACCATTCTGGTAAGCACTGCAGACAACAGCTATTTTCCAAGTAGGACTTCTGGCTAATGGTCTGAGAAATAATTTTCAGCCTTCATCTGTAAACTTTCTTTTCTACCTATACTTATACTTTGAGGAGGGGAAAATAAGCTAATTAATAGAAATTTTAGATTTTGTTTCCTGTCTAAACTCATTAAGCATTAATGTCTACAATCATTTTTTTTTGCATGGATTTATAGTGTATGTTGAAACAATACAAATAGAAATGCAGATAAATGTACATATCAATGACATGATCTTCTTACGTTCAATCTTAAATTCAACAAAGAAATGTCCACTTATATATTGTTGAATACACTAAAACTAGATATAGGATTAATCAACCTTTATATATTTTTGAATATATTTTTGAATATAGTAAAACTAGATATAGAATTAATCTACCTTGTATAGAAAATACACATACTAATATATTTATAATAATGAGAATGTGGACTAAGCCCAAATAAAAATGAATATGTAAAAATAATATAATTAACATAGGAACTGTGATTTCTTAATTAACATAAAACACAATATATCTAACGTTCTTTCTTAAGTTAGTGCATATAAATTGTATATACCAAACTTGTTATAAATATAATCAATTCTCAGTTTCCATAAAGATTTAGTGAAAATATCTACTAACTGATAATTTGAGTTGACGAATATAGTCTTGATGTCTCTAAATACAATCTTCTCTCAAATGAAATGATAATCAATCTCAATGTATATAGTTCTCTCATGAAAGAAAAAATAAGAATTGATATGAGAAGTAACTTAATTGTCACATATAAGTGTCATTTCAGTGATATCTCAAAATTCAAACTTTTTAGGCAATTATTTAAATTAAGCAAGTTCACAAGTTGCTAAGGTCATAGTTTTATATTATGCTTATGCACTAGATCTTGCGACAAGTTACCACCAATGGAGATATAATACCCAAAAGTAGATATTCTATTAAAAGGAGGTCATGTCCAATCAGCGTCTTAATAGCAAACAACTTTTTATGGTTATTAGAACCATATAACAAACTTTTTTCCAGGAGATCCTTTAATGTACTTTAATATATGGATGATTGTATTCCAATGATCTTCACATGAGAAATTGGTTCACTACACTGATTGCAAAGAAAATTTCAGGACGAGTAATTGTAAAGTAATTTAATTTCCCCAACCAATCTCCTATACTGCACAAGATCTGAAATAGGCTCCCCCTAATTTGGTAAGAGTCACTAGGATCCATGGGTGTGTCAACAAATTTTGAATTCATCAACTCAATTTCCTCCCAAAATATCAATGCATACTTCCTTTGAGATATAACAATACCATCGTTGGATTAAGCTACCTCAATAACCAAGAAATATTTGAGTTTGTCACAATATTTGGTCTGAAAATGGTGACAAAGGTGTTGTTTCATCTTAGAGATGTCATGATGGCCACAATGTCATCAACATATACTATTAAATGGAGACATCCAACACTTGAATGATGGTAAAAGGCTGAATGACCTGTCTCACTCTGAGTTATACCAAATTGTTTAACAATGCTACTCAATTTTCCAAAACCAGAGCCTAGGAGACTATTTTAGGCAATATAAAGATTTGTAAAGACGACATACCAGTCCAGAAGACTCCCCTGAGCAACAATTTGGGAGGTTGCTCCATATAAATTTCTTCTTGCAAATCTCCATCGAGGAAAGCATTTTTGACACCCAATTGATAAAGAGACCATTGTTGAAGAGTAGCCATGGCTATAAACAAATGAACAAAAGTCATCTTTACCACTCGAGAAAAAGTATCACAATAATCCAATCCAAAAATTTGTGTGTAACCTTTGGCTACAAGTTGAGCTTTGAAGCAATCCATAGTACCATCAGGACCAACTTTGATAGCAAGAACCCACTTGTAACCAACAACAAATTTCCCAAACAGTAATAGGACGGGCTCCTAAGTTTTACTATTCTAAAGAGCACTTAGTTCATCTAGTATGGCATGACACTAACCAAAACGGGCTAAGGTAAGTTTAAAAAGGTGAAAATAATCTATGATAACTAAAAGCAATATAATGCGAAGAGGAGTAGAACATATTCGTTTACGGAGGGTAATTCGAATGTCAGACTTAGTTGTCGGAGTCGGAGGAGACAAAATAGTTGGTACTTGAAGTGAGTCACTTGGTGGTTATTGAGAATAATATCTTCAACTATAAACCTAAAGTGGTGGTGGAGGAGAATTTGACATTGGATTAGGTACAAATGGAGGATCACAAATTATAAGAATGTCAATTGTAGTAGACAGAGACACAAGTAAATAAAAAAAAAATAATGGTTAAGAGAAAAATAGAAACACTAATATCGTTTTTTGTGATCGAGTAAATCCTAAAAATCATATTTGTGTGATCTAGAATATAACTTATCAAGAGCAAGATCAAAATTATGAACAAAACATGTAGACCCAAAAACTTTATTATGTAAGGGACATATAGGTGCATGAGAAAATCAAATAAAATGAGAAATTTTGTTATTTAAAACCGAAGGCATGTAGTTAATAAAATAACTTGTACTAAGAATACATTAGAAAAATGTTGAGAAATCTCACCATGAATTAAAAGTGTGCAAATTATTTCAACAAGATGTTTGTTCTTGCACTCAACCACCCAATTTTGTTGAGGTGTATATACACATGAAGTTTGATAAATAATGTCATGAAAAATCGGATTAAAAGAATAGAAAAGGTATTCACCATTATTATTATTTCGCAAAGTTTCAATGAAAATCTTAAATTAAGTTTTAATTTCATTATAAAAGATTGAAATATAGAAAATAACTCAAAACAATTTTTCATTAAAATCAACCCAGTGCATTTGAAATAATCATCAATAAAAATAATAAAATACTACGTAACTTAATTAGACTTAACACAACTAAATCTTTAAATATCAAAGTGAATTAACACAGGTGACAAAACAAATAAACTATGATTATATTTTCCTAATTGACATAAAACCTAATATATCTAAGATATATATCTCTCTACAATATTTTCTTATAGTTGTAGGCGACTTTAAAATATATTTATATTTCATAAAATAAACAGCTCGTTTGCTTTTACCAAATTTTCATTTCTTTGTTTTTTGTTAGGGTCAACTCCTCCAAAGGTGCTAATGCCACAGCTTTTTATTATATGCTACCGTCTATTAAAAATTTATGATAATTTTCCTAAAATAATACTTATTATCTAAAATCAAACCGATAATACCTCCTATAGGTAAGGGTATCCAAAATCAAACCGATAAAAAAAAAAAAGAGATAACTGATAAAATAAAATAAAAAATTGAATTGAATTGAATTGATTTTTTTTTCTCCAAAGCTCGTCGTCTATTCTGAAAAGGGGATCCCCACATGAGAAAGGATGTGTCCAAAAGCAATAATCAAAGAAAAATACTAAATAAACTAAGGGTAAAAGGTGAGTAGAAGGTGTCCTGTCTAGTCATGCTTATACTTTTGTATAAGAGACCCTTCATAATTCCTAATAGACCCTTCATGATTTTGTATATAATTAAGTTTTGTACAACTTAAAAATTGTACGCTTAAATTTGTATGCAATTAATTTTGTTAGATGCGTACATATTACAATAGGGGCTAATAGCCCAACTACAAAAGAAGTTTGATTTAGAGAGACGCTCACCAAAAATAACCCCATCATTACAACCATGACAACATAATAGGCAATCAGTGGAATTGTCACTACACCCACACAAAGATTCAATGAGACCAAAACCCAAAGGGGATTTTAAGCAAGAAGTTGGCGTAGAAGTCATTCACACTCTTCAAATTGTTAGTATATCTTCAACTTGGTATATCGTTAATAGTCATGAGCTCATCAATTAGGTATATTTTGATTTATGGATGAGTGGTGAAATATCAATTGTATGGATTCATGAATCTTTAACTCATTCATTCATTGAATTAACAAGTAGTCCATTGAATAACATTAATTCATGTATCAATTAGGTATATTTTGCATCACCAATTGTTTTGTTACTAGGAAACAATATTTAATTAATCAATTTTAGTAAATTGCATATATTTTTCTTTAAGTTTCCTGTACTTTCAAAAAAGGATTTTGTTTAGAATATTGTTTTATAAATGTTAATCAAATAGGTGTGGATATTGTATATGTTGATGATTGATGAATATGGTGGTGTATAATGTTTCTTAAAGTATGATATAAGGGTGTTATTGAATTTTGTTTATCGATATAGTATCAATGTTTTGCGTAATTCCATGGACCTTGTGTTGAGAATCTTTGGCGGCATGTAATAGTGTACTGTATTGATGTGGGAGTCCAGACGTTGGAGATTATCCTGAAACTCTAATGTCTATCCAATCTAAAGTAGAGAAGGGTGAGACATGTGGTGAGAGTAGGAGATCCTAGTCTAGGGGCATTACTTCGGCCTAAGGCGTTGACAGACTAATCTTATATGTGGTAGGATGAAACTCATTGCCAATGACTCTGCAAAGCAGTAGAGGCCATCATAAGTGCATGACTCCCTAAGATTTTACATCAATGCTTTGTCCAGACAATCAAGTCTAGAATGCCTAGTTGTATGTCTTAGGATGAATTGATATAACATGTATGTATGTTAACAAATGTATTTCTATTGTATGTTAACAAATGTATTTCTATTGTATGAAAGATCTTTTGGTACATTAGCTTATCATTTCTTTTCTGTTTGTTTTTTCTTGTTGCGATTATCACCATGGTAGGAGCAGAGGAAGATATTCCAGTTGATCTAGTATAAAGTGAGAGATCGATGCATTAGAACCTTAATTAGGTTTTAGAATTCTATTTTCCTTATAGTGTGTATATAATTGATTATACTCAAGCTTTATGAATTAGTGTAATATAATAATTATATTTCTATCTTACCTGTTTATGAATGATCACATAAGTAACTTTATTTAATAGTTTTTTTTATTATAATGGGATGTTATAATTTTTAATACATTATATCCTTGTATCCCTACATCACATTTTTGGTTGAGTTTTCTAATTGCACATGAATTTCAACACATACTTTAAATGGATAATTTATTGGTAATGAAAGTAAATATTTTTGCATCTATTATATTAGTTAAGCTTATATAAT